GAAAAAAAAAAAAAAAAAAAAAAAAAAAAAAGAAATCAGAATGAGCAGATGAGAGTGTGAGATGATGGTCCACATTTTTCCAAAAAATTCCATGTAATAGCTTCCTGGTCGCCTCCTGTGTGAGATGTCTCTTTGGCCCAGGAAAGCATCTTAATGGTATTTCTGGCCTTTAGCAGTGTGGGAGTTTGCCAGCTCCTCCACGAAGCCTTTTTTGAAGGGTGCAGTAAAGCACAGGGCTAAAATCCAGGACTTTGAAGTTAGGTGCTGAGTTCTGTCCTGTGACTCAACAGGTCCCTTACCCTCCTGTCACGTGGAGATGGTTCTGCCTCCTTCGCAGGGTGGTGCAGGTGTTCACCTGGGGCAGGGTGTGGAAAGGGCTTTGTACCTCGTGCTTGAGATGATCATTGCTGGATACATGGTTGCAACAATAGCAGTCATATTGTTATGTTCATTCTCAGTTGCTTGAATGCGGGATGCGTGTCTGTGTTTCTCTACACCTGCAGCAGAATGCCTCAGGCATGGTAGATGCTGAGAAAATACCTGCCGAGTGAATTTGTTTCACAAGGGTGCCTATGAAGTCTGCAAATAGAGGCAAAAAGACATAATAAATGGTTTACTGATGCTTACTACAGTACGTGGCGTAACACGAGTACAATACAGTATGGCATGTGATACGTACCAGTGTGTTGCCCTCATTAGCAGTGCAGAGTTCCACGCGTCCTGCAGAATTGCAGTGAGCAGGGGCATTCACACAGCATACGTGTGTGATGTCGCCTGACATGGTTTCTGTCTCTGATCTTCATCGAGTCAACTTGGGCTGTCAGCCTACCCCAGAAGAAACAATCGAGGGGATCAGTACATAAAAAATAAAATAATATTTTTTCCAAGACTTTACGGTCACCCCGTAGATGCTCTTTGCATCTCTCCTGCTCAGCACCCTGTCTGTGGGCTGTGGTGACTCTCTGCCATTTATCACTGATATCCCTGGGTACTGATGGTTTCCTGCCTAGTCATCCCCCTTCTCTAGAAACCCACACCGTGATCCACTTCCTCCCACCCCGGCATGGAGATGGGTGTCTTGCCTCTGACCTTCCCTCTCCAGTCTCCTGGTGGAGCAGCCGGCTTGCCAGATCTCTTCTCCTTCCCAGGGAAGGGAGCAGATGCCCCTTGCTCCTCACCACTGAGCTTCTTTGAGGCTGCCCCTGGATCCCATCCTGTCACTCAGCTGTGCCCCTAGTGCAGGAACAGTCACTCCCCATTCAGGCAGACACCATGTGGGGCGTGAGAACAGTCCCCATTCAGACAATAGAGAAGCCCAGTTACCCTGGACGCCTTGGGTGCCCCAGAGGTTGTGACGCTAACAGGCAGCCTTATGGAGGGGGTGGTGACTCAGGGACTCAGAGGAGTGACTTGACTTTCTGTGCTGGGCCAGCGCCTGTCTCGAGGGTGACTGCTACACCAGGGCTTCTGGGGCTGGTGCCTCCATGACCTTAGCTTCTTTCTGTCTCCCGCAGGACGCCAGCCATGATCGGCTGCTCCTTTGTGGTCAACAGGAAGTTCTTCGGTGAAATTGGTCTTCTGGACCCAGGGATGGATGTGTACGGAGGAGAAAACATCGAACTTGGAATCAAGGTTTGTGACACAGTGTCCCTCCCTCCTTATTTGCTCCTGCTGCAAGCGGAGCTGCTTAGCCATCCTCAAGGGGAATGTGAAGCTTCTTGTAGCTGATGAATGACAGGTTCACTTGGCCCACCCCCACTCTGGTGAGGACAACCTAGTAGGGTTGTCATCCCTCCTTCCACGGGGGACTCCTGGGCTGTCCTCTGTAGGGGTTGATTTGTTTCCCACCCGGGTGACCCACTCTGGACGTTGGTTCCTGTTCCTATCCAGGGTTGTCCTTTCCTTATGTTTTTCTTAAAATTAAGTGATCTTCTTAAATTACCCTTTCCATCCTATGTGTTTTGGTAGTTCATGTACATCACAGAACCATAAGATGCCAGAGGAGGAAAGCGCCAGGTTCCGGGACCCTCCCTTTTCTCAGAAGTGCTTTTAGGGGAGCATGATGTGGGAGGGGATGTACCAGGAGGGAGCAGAGTGTGCCCATTGCTGGGCCCCAGCCAGGATCAACTCTACTGTCAGAGATGCTGTCTGCCGGGCTCTGCTTAAGACTTTGTTCAAAGAAAGAATTCCACTGGAAAAAAATAAAAGTTAGAAACCATTGGTGCATTGCAACCTCTTCGTTTTAGAGTTAAGATGAATGAATCCCAGTGGAAGACAGACAGGGGTAGGAGGGACTCCCTTAGTATCCACTGACAAAGGTTCTCTGCTTGAACAAACTTTAGTCAGGCTCCTGAACCTTCTCCTAACCCATTTGTACACTTCCTGTAAAATCCAGTCTTAGCAAGACCTTGAGTCAGTTTAGCAAAAACCTCCCACCCTTCTTCATATCTGATCAAGTTTCTTATCCTCCATCATTTCCTAGGTGATGTCTGATCACCTGGCCTATCTTCAGCAAGAATCCTGTTAAGTCAGTTTAGCCAGAATCCCCCTTACCCCTGATGTTTTCTCTTAGAAATTTCCCATTCACCGACCCCCACCCTGCTCCTTGGCTATGAATTCTAACTCGCCCACACTGTACTTAGAGTTGAGCCCAGTCTCTCTCCCCACTGCAAAATCCCATCACAGTGGTCCCTACACTTATCACAGCGGTCCTGAATAAAGTCTGCCTATAACATGTTTTAACAAGTGTCATTGAATAATTTTTTCTTTAACACTGGTAACTACTGAACAGGGGACTTGCTTCTCCTGGCTGGGGCATCTTCTACTACACTGTGAAGATGCTGGGGGAATCCAGACTGGGGTCTCTGTGTCTGTTGCCTCCTGTCTTGAACCTTTGCATACTTGGGCCCTGGGAAAGAAAGCTTGTCAGTAACAACTCAGGACACAGTTGTAAGGTTTACAGTTTTTTAAGTTTCTTCTGCCATCTTGTGCTGCATACTCATTTTTATTCTACCTAGGCAGTTACCCAGTGCAGGACCCCTACTGCATACTTGGGCCCTGGGAAAGAAAGCTTGTCAGTAACAACTCAGGACACAGTTGTAAGGTATACAGTTTTTTAAGTTTCTTCTGCCATCTTGTGCTGCATACTCATTTTTATTCTACCTAGGCAGTTACCCAGTGCAGGACCCCTACCCCAATCAAAGCCTGCTCTCTGCAGCTGATTTCACTGGTTTATTCCTATCTGCTTGTCTGGAGCAAAGGCAAAATGTCCACAAAACTGAGAAGGTATCTTGAGACTGAAAAACAAAACAGGCAATTCCATGCAGTAAAGCGAAGGATTTTATTAAAGGGATTTTACATACAGGATGAAGGATTGGGCAGACAACAACTCAGAGGCAGCACAAAGTTTCTCTGCACCACCTCCTGGTCGAGCTCAGGTTTATATAGGCAGTTCACACAAAGCAGTGGGAAAAGCCAAAAGAGTTACTAATTAAAGTACAAGCTAATGTAACTAGCTCCAAATGTTGGTGCAGGTGGCCAGGCTGGCCTATCACCCATACTGGTACTTAATCATTCCTTCTTTACAGTCAGCAGGTTGTTTCTGTCTGTTGTTCTATCTCACCCCTAGTTACTGTATAACTTTTATGGGCAAAGCTCTCACAAAGGACATAGTAAGTGGTAAGCATTCAAGATGGAGTGAGCTATGCTCACAGTTCCACACTGCTGAATACCTTTAAGATACCCCAGCAGCCCCTCATCTGCATGTGAGCTCTCTTTGTGGAATAAGGGCTTTGTGCCCTTATGTAATCAATGTCCAAGCTGCATGAGTGAAGGGGTTGGTGGGAACCTTCCCTACATCCTAAAATCACTCCCTTGTGACGACTGCACACTCTTCTTCCTGTGCTTTCAATTCCAGGCTGGGTTCTTTCCTCAGTGGAATTTGCATAGAATTTGTAAAGCCCATAGTCATAGCTAATATATGTGTCATTCATCCTCTTTGAATTTAATTGAAGAAAAGATCTGAACCCAACATGTTGATCCTTGACCTGCAACTTCAGTGTCAGCCCTGCCCCCATCTTCTCCTTCCTGCTTGAGCCTTTCTGCTTCTTTTTTCCTTAGCACTCATCAACCCCTAGCATACCACAGAATTTACTTATTTCTTATGTGTATTGCTTTTCTCTCTCTTCTCCTCACTAGATTGCAAGTTCTGTGGGGCACAGTTCTGTTTTATTCACCTTTGTATCCCAAGCAGGCAGAACCATGCTTGAACTGTGGTTCAGTAGGTATTTGTTAGATGACTGAATGAAAACCTGGGGAACCTAACATGAGCAGAAGTGTGGAGTGGGGGAGACGAGCCAGATTGGAACACATGGAAGGTTAAATGGGAGGTGAGAATCTACAAGTCCAAATAACTGTTCCAGGTACTTACCTGTGAGAGGAAGGAAGTTGTTGAAGGAAGCCCTGCATGGAGAGAGTTGAGCTTTTATGTTTGTTTAACTTTATTTTGAAGACAAGAGATTTAAATATCTCTGTATGCTATGAGAAGGGAGCTGGTGAAGCATAGAACAGCAGAGGAGAGGGCAGGGCAGTGGACGAGGGCCTGTCCCTGTGGAGATGAAGCCAGGTGTGGGACCATCAGGGCCAAGAGGGACCCTCCGAGGTTGGTGGCTGCTGCAGGGTGTGTTCAGGGGACCACAGAGGCTGTGACAGCAGAACTCATTGTTAAGGCTCTCTGGGGAGATGTTCGTCTCCACACTCACAGAGGCGTTTGCTTCCCCCCTGCCCCCTGACTTGTGGATTTATTTTGTAACTGTTTCGAGACATTATTGACATAAACAATTTGTATATATTTAAGGTGGACAACATTGTTTTCATATACATATACATTGTGAAATGAGCCTCAGTCAAGCTAGTTAATAATCATTCAGTCATTACCTTTACCTGGTTATGGGGTGAGGGGGTGGGGTGTGAGCAGATTTAAGATCTATGCCCCTAGCATATTAAAAGTGTACAATACAATATTGTTAGGTATCATAATCACAGACCTTCAGAAAGGATTCCCATTGCTTTGCAGTGACCCAGCAGGAAAGATCTGAGTGCAAGGCTCTGCCAGGCTCAGCGGTGATGGTGACATCTGCCTGGAAGGCAGGACTGTGTGGCTGGTCACCATCCCTGAACCCTGACGGAGGCACAGCCCTGTGCCCCAGGCCCTGCACCTTCACCTGCAGGGCCAGTGAGTCCCTCTCCCCACACTCCTGGTTGCCAGGCCAGACTGAGTGGGCCCTGCAGAGTGGAGTCTGTCCCTAGGCAGTTGCTCCCTGGCTTTGTCTTCTCAGTGACAAGGGGGCTCCTACTGCTCACTCGTCTTTATCAGATGGATCTGGATGTGGAAGTCACCCTCAAGTGCAGCCACCTGCCTCTTACTGCACTCCCAGCACAGCCAGCATCTTGCTAGAGAGGTGGGAATGATTCTGCCTTTTACTTCCCATAGTCCACAGCGTCCTGCAGGCTGTGAGCTGACTCCCGACAGCCTTGCCTCTCTGCCACTTTTTAAAGTGAGAGTTGAGCGCTGTTGGTTCTGTAAAGGCCAAGGTCTGGGCTCGGGTTCTATACAGTTTCCTGTGGCTCCCATCATGTGATCCTCAACCAGCAGCATCAGCATCACCTGGGTACTTGTTACAAATCCAAATTCTCAAGCCCCATCTCAGAACTGCTGAATCAAGAACCCTGGGGTAGGATAAAGCTACCTGTGTTTAACAAGCCCTCCAGGTGATTCTGTCATGTGCTCAGGTTGGCGAGCCACTGGTCTACACCTGAGCTTAGCCATCTCCCAGGAAAGCACATGCCTCCATCAGAAGGGAGCCCTGGCAAGTGCCCCCCTTCCCAGTCCCTCCTCCATGTGCCACTCCATGGCCACCCTGGCCCACAGTGAGTCTTTTCTCCTAACTCCAGCCTGTGCAGCCAGGCACCAGCATCTGCCTTCCGATATCTCAGCCAGTTGACTGCAAGGTTCCTAACGACAGGGCTCCCTTTTCAATAAGATAATGTATGTGAAGTGCTTTGTTTTACAGACTATATCCCATCTTCTTTAATTTTGTGCTATTTTATACTGCTTAGAGCACACATTAGTTGAATAATGAATGCATTTCTAAGAAATCTATCCACTGGAAAAAAAATCAGCCTATGTAAATATATATGCACACATATACATGTATATAATTTTTATGTAGTGTACACACATACATTTACATATACTGATTTACCTATGAGAAATAACACAAGGCCCTATGCTTTAATTAAATGGAAAAATTTTAATATTAGAACACTTTCTTGGTGACTTTTGTCACCAAGAAATATGTCCATCTGTGATCATTCTAACTATTCTCTGAAATTTTTTGTTACTTTTTGATTTCATCCTCAGTAAGTAGAGGCAGCACAAGGACAGAAAGTCTTACTGTGGTTCAGGAACATAAATCTCAGAGTCGACTCTAGGGTTGTCGCTCGGGTGCAAGGCAGCTTGTCTGTGACCAAAGCAATCAACACAGTGCAAGGAACAATGCTCTCCAGCACTGAGGAAACAAATGAGGTTGGAAATGGAAAGCTCTCGTTTCAGTACCATTAACCAGAAACTA